TAGAGGTATTCCCTGGACGAGACAATAAAACCAGAGTGGTAAAATTGAAAACACAAAGTGGTGTTTTTACTCGAGGAATAGCAAAGGTATGTCCTTTACCAATTCAGGATTAAAACCTGCTACTTTCTCTATTGTAAATATGTTGTTTATTTTTTTTGTTAATGTTTCGTCTCTCATTGAAGTTTGGAAACTTCAAGGGGGGGAATATGTTGCGGAAATAACCCACAACAAGTTTAAAATGTTATTATTTGTAGTTTATCAATATAATCAATTTCTATTATTTATCATAAAAATAATATTCTAAAAAAAGATTCCTGTAAAACTGGCAACAGCAGCCCTTTTGAATCGGTAAAATTACAGATTTCTTCATTACCCTATGAGCAATGGATCTATTTTGTTGTTGTGATTGGTCAGTTGCCACCCAACATCCCTGATTTATGCGACCTGCTCCGAAAAAGGCAGTCGACTCGACGCACGGCACGGTACACAACAGTAGTAATCAAGAAGCAGAAGAGTAAGCAAAGACTCTGCACCCTCTCGCCTCTGAACGCTCTACAGAGGAAAAAAACCCCCAGAAAACCCCCGTTAGTACGCGAATTATAGTAAAATACTACTCCCAGTGTCTCAAGGCCTGACATGGCCTATATTATCAACGATATTATTGATTACAATTCATGTAATTAACCCCTAAATTGTTGCAAGTCATCTCGGACCTAGCAAAATTCTCTACTACGCCTGTTTAAGGTTATTCCTGTCTCACTCTCGACGGGCTTCAACTCTGTATATCATTGTGTTCTCTCTCTTAGTGGAAAATCCCTTAGCTGACAGTGCAAATTACTACGAATAGTGATAAATGGATAAATAATCACTATATGGATTTACCGGTATGAACTGGATTAAGCAAGTAAGACCGTTTCAATTTCTCAAAACAGTCGAACAATAAATTAATAAATACTGAATACTGATTCGGTTGAAATGCACTATAAATTGAAGTGTTTGTTCTAACCTTTAATACAGAAATTTGGTTTTCACACTCGTGAAATGAACATTAATTTGTAAATTTGTATATAGAAACTGAGCATATATATATAGACTTTTCTTGCACTTATTGTTTACACACTTCAGCAGAAAAGTGCTCAAATTATTAACTCTCAATAAACAAAAGAACTTTCAAGGATTATAAACATTTTGTGAATACAGTGAGCTGATTGAAGTTCACGAATTATTTGTGTTGGGCTCTCGTAAATCTAATTAGTTAATTTGTGTTCTCGTTCATCGAACATTTAACCATAATTGATATTATTATTATGAAATTTCACTATTTTTATAAATCAAGATACTTATTTACTCGCTTATTTACTTTAGATTAGTATAAAATTTGTAGTTCGACTGGACGTCCAAATAGGAATTATTAGATAGGATTTGATTGCTGATTAAACCGAATTAACTTCATTTATTAATTAAATTGATAACTATTCTATTTCAGCGTTTTATTTGTATAAATGAGAATCAAGGCACCCCTAGTTCAATACAAGGCTTAAATGATCCAACACCTAATGGTTAATTTTTACAGTCAGTCAAAGTAAAAACTTTTGACATCCCTGGTGCGGTAATGACTAGAGTCCACAAAAGGGTAATAGCTAGTTCCGTCACAATCATGGAACTACCATCAGTCACGCATGAGTCCGCAGAAAAAATAAAACAGCTCCATGACGTATCAATTGAATGTCTGGAAATAATCAAAAATCTAGGCATTGACACAACATCATGGGATCCATTTATAGGGAGACTCATAACGAAAAAGTGGGACCCAGAAACCAATAAACTATACGAGCAGCAATTACAAGATCCACAAAAAATTCCATCCAGACAAGAAGTGTTCGAGTTCCTCAGAAAAAGATTTCAATCCCTGGAATCTATAAGTGGCGAAAGAAAACAGCATGACGTCCCTATAGAGACTCACCGAGAGGCGAAGGAAGATTCAAATGTGCGGTATGCCACAACCCACAACCATCACGCAATTGTGTTTTGCCCAGAGTTTAAGAAGAAATCGGTGTCAGACCGAAACAAAATAGTTAGAGAAAATCAACTGTGCCAGAACTGCCTACGTCACAGCAATAAATCCTGATATTACAGCCCAGAAAAATGCAGAACCTGCAACCGGTCACACAACACATTACTTCATCAGGAAATTAATACTAGATACCAAGGCTCCGTTAATGCTGGAAACCACAACAACCATCTTGGATACTCTAGAAATCCAAGAAGCAATCACTATACAGCAAGCAATAGCCACCTAGGCATCAAAGAAGTTCTACTTGCCACGGCCCTAGTGGTAAGCCAGGCTGCCGACGGATCAGGAAAAATGCTAAGAGTACTGATCGATCAAGGCTCACAAGCGTCGTTTATAACTGAGCAGGCGGCCCAGCTATTAGCATCGCATAGTATGGAGAAGATTGTATATGTCAAACACATGGCTATTTATCGCAGCATCACCAACACAGATAGCCATAACATGCAGCGGCATCAGAGAAGATATCAGTCTGAAAAATACTGGAATACTCCAAGTATCACAAGACTGCATCATAAAAACCAGACGAAACATCCTGACTCCAAAAAGGCTAGAAACCGTTCCAGTAGTAGTCAGTTACTCCAAAGCAACCGCACTACACATTAATCAAATCCAAACCTCAAGCAATCCAAGTTCACCAATCGAAGACGAACCCATCCTCAACATAAATGACAACTTCCAGTCAATAGTCCACGACGAAGAAACAGTCAGAAGTCAACTTGAAAATACAATCTGGGCAAAAATCCGAAACCACACATATGCAAGCAATGGCATAACCCTGTGCATAATCACGATAGTATTGACAGTGGTCATGGCAGGTCACTACGCGCGCCGCCACCGCAGGCGAGCATCAAACTCACACAACCGACGTCTCGGGTCAAACACCGCTAACAACGAAACACACAAATCAACAGATACGGATGACTCGTCCCCAGCAGCACAGGAAATGATCGAGCTACGTCCTCTACGCAGCATGCTTTCCACAGACAGCCGGGAGAATGTCTAGTCGCCATGTGCCCAAAAAGCATTTCTGATAATTTTGGCCATTTGAGGCACATAAGAAAAAAAAAAGATTAATTAACTGCCTGGAATTTCCTTATTTAAAAACAATTGTTCAATAGAAATAATATAATAAAATATTCACGGTCAAAGCGTGTCAGGTCACCAAAAGTGTCGACCTTTCACTATTCCGGAACATAATAGGTTCATGTCGTAACAAGGTTAGAGACTTAAAATTATGAAAAATTATTATTAAAATTATTTTGACTTAGATTAATATAATTTGTGATATTTTTCCTAATAAAATCAGTATTCAACTAGTGGTAAAATATTACTGTTGTTTTTACTCACAAAAACCTACTACGGCCAAGTCACCTTGCCTGTAATCTATAGTGAGACTGCTATAGAGTAGTAGGGAATATAAAGGCTCAGGAATTTTTCCTGGCCTTTTCAATCTTCCTAATTTCTAACTGTTTTGCTATTTGCCATGGCATTTAGTTAATGCCTAAAATTGCTCTATGCCTGACATATACACCGCTTTGTATGCTACTTTTTTCTTGTCAAGGCAGCAACACCGCTATTCTGAAAGAGCTAAATATTGCAATTCCATGACGGTTTTCTCGCTATCGCCGTGGTAAGGTTAAGGTAAAACATAATTTTGCTCTTATTCACTTACCTACCTCGATTGCCTGCATTCATATCTGGATGTACTTTTGTTTTTCTCACAACTAACCTTTGCCAATATCTTCCAAAGAGCTTCTCTGTTGACCGAATGAAATGCTTGTACTAAATCTATGAAGGCCACGTATAGCGATTTTGTTCTCTGGATTTCTCTTGCATTTGTCTTGCACTGAAAATCGTGTCAGCTGTACCTCGGTTGGGTCTAAAATCACACTGGTATCTGGGAGGTTCTCTTCGGCAATTGAGATTAGACGATTTGATAATATTCTGGCCTCCCCAATCAAATATACAGGGTATCCAAAATATTTGTTGAAACATGTCGTTTCTAAATTATGTTTCAATTGAATTTCTTAAATACCTAGGTAGGTATAAAGATTTCTCCTAAAATTTGCACAGAAAATAGGAAAAATCCAGGGCGGCATAGCTCAATAAATCACAGAATTGCTTCTCGTTGGCATGACAGTGTTATAAATTGTTTGTGTGATCCTATGACATTTGGTGTATCTAAGTACATTTTACCTTTCCTAAAGAAGCGTTTCGTTCTAAAAATGAATTATACGAAAAAAGAATTAATTGATATTATTTATATCCTTGGGAAATGCTTAAAGAAATTGTCTTGTACGGCGAGAGGTTTCCTGATAGAAGACATCTACCTAGATACAGGATTATTTCAAAAATTGGTGGATCGATTTGACGGAACTGGGACAATTAAATACGGAAAAGATGGCAGAATAAATTCAGTGTTAAACGAAATATAGGAATTTGATATTCGGTTGTCCGTTGTCGAAAATCCACATAGGGTTAGGTTGATGAGCTTACGTCAAACTTCTGTGGAAAGAATTTTGAAGAAACAGAAGCTTCATCCACATCGTGTGCAACTTGGAGATTTTGTTAATTGGGTAAATTTCTGTAATTCCGGCATTGCTTTGGATGACACAAATTATAAAATAAACGATTAATTTGTTCTGGCGTTCTAGTTCCATTTACAAACGTCTGTTTTTTTTTTTTCAAAAACTTACTTGTTTATAATATGAAATAAATAATAAGAAACTTTAATAGTATTTGAATTATTAATTTAAGTGTGGTCCTGTAGTCCTGTATAAACAATGGAGCTTTATGTTTGTGGGAAAAAAACACTCGCAGAAACTGATTTTTCCCCTTATTTGGATGAGATAAATTTGCAATGAAATTTTTGTGTTGGAAACTTTACCTCGTGCATAATAACAATTAGGTACTATTCTATTTTTAGTAAAGCAATGCAATGGATTCAAGAGCCGCAAAATTTTCAAAAAATCAAACAACAATTCGATTCGAGCAGCCGATTCGCAAGACTACAAAGATTAACACTCAAAATAGCCGGCCGATTTTTATTTATCAGATTTGTAGCTTCGACTGGAGATGCAATGGGTATGAACATGTTATCAAAGGGAACTGAACTGTCTTTGAAATACGTCCAAGAAATATTCAAAGATATGGAAATTTTAAGTCTTAGTGGAAACTTTTGTGCTGATAAAAAGCCTGCAGCAATAAACTGGTAAGAAATAATCCCTGGACTTCAGGTATATGTATATAATTGCTTAAACAAATTTCCACAGGATTGAAGGAAGAGGAAAATCAGTAGTCTGCGAAGCGATCGTTTCTTCTAAAATAGTCAAAAGCGTCCTAAAAACCAACGTTCACGATCTAGTAGATGTAAACAATTCCAAAAATTTGGTTGGCTCAGCAGTAGCTGGAAGCATAGGTGGATTCAATGCTCATGCAGCCAACATAGTAACTGCCATTTTTATAGCAACCGGTCAAGATCCTGCTCAAAATATTAGCAGCAGCAATTGTATGACTCTAATGGAACCTTGGGGTCCACATGGGGAAGATTTGTATATTTCTTGTACTATGCCTTCCATTGAAATAGGTAAGAAAATGAATATTTACCGCAACTATCAACTAAATATGTATATGCAACAAAGTACAAAATAGATAGCAGCATTGTTTTTATGACTATTGGAACAGATTCTAGACAATTTTTTACATAAAGATCATTTCTAACCGGGCTACAAAATAAATTCAGCATTCTTATGTATAGTGCCAAAATACACCTATGTATAAAAATTCCTTCTAATAAAGAGAAATAACATACAGAAGGAATTTTATCCATGTGTGGCGGATGGAGTAATGGATGACTATTGAATACTCTAATATGTAATATTTTATTTGTATACATGGTATCATGAATGCAGAAACTCTCAGTATTCAAAAAACTTCCTAAATTATTAAACAAAAATCTAATTTTTCCAGGTACAATCGGTGGTGGTACAGTCCTACCAGCTCAAGGTAGTTGCCTGGAAATGTTGGGAGTAAAAGGATCAAATGCAGCCGAACCAGGAGCGAATGCATGCCAATTAGCCAAAATCGTATGTGCGACAGTATTAGCAGGCGAACTTTCACTTATGTCAGCCTTAGTAGCCGGCCATTTAGTCAAAAGTCACTTAAGACACAACCGATCTACTACATTATTGCCAGATGCTTTTGATAGAAGTAAAAATGTTTATTTGCCACCCTGCAAAGATAATGCTTGAGGCTTTTTTTTTAACCAATTGCAGTGATGTTTCGCAGAAGAGCCATAATTTTGGTATCTGCTATAATTTTTTTTGTACAAGTTTTCGTTAAGGGTTGATGTCGTTGACGATCCACAATTTCATAATATCCTATGACATCGGATTTTCTCTTATCTAATGAATGGACATTAAAATAAAATAGGTAATAGAAATATACTTTTGGTTTTGCGAGAAAAAGTTCCTCTAATTTAATGTGTGTATGTAATTATAATGATCAACTTTGAGTTGATTATCAAGAATAAAAACATATTTAGGTGTTGTAATTGTAACTGTCGATAATAATAATATTCACTAAATTGTGACATAACATAGGTTTTCATTACGCCTGTTATTTTTTGACGAATGGATCATTACAATCGATGATGAGAGTAAATTGTTCTTATTTAAAAAGAAATCCAAATCATGTATTGTATAGTGTGGGCTAGTTATTTTGACACTTTTATAAGGAAACACCAATTTCTAGGCGAGAGAGGCTAAATTTTTTTTAAACATTCAATAGTGCATACCGCATGAGATATCTTTCCCCGTTCTGCCGCTAAATGGCGTCATTCGATTTTGGGCAATACTGCAAATATTTCATCTTTTTGGTTTTGGTTCAACCCTTCATTAGTCGCTAGGAATTTTTGGGAAATTTTCAACGCTTCGGTCTGTGACACCGAAAATATAATTCAAGTCCTTCAGACATATAAATCATTAATTTATCTATTCTGAGGTCTTATTTTAACAATTTACCAAAACAACCCAAGCCAAGACAACAAATCGGGACCCTATAGAAAAAGAACTGATTACGAAGAGCGAATCTTGATCTTAACGCCATCTAGGACACGATAATCAACACTACACGCAATTTTGCTGTGCAAAATGGTGAACGTTCCAAAGGCAGACCAAAATTCAGTTCGTTTGGGTTTCACCCAAAAGTGAAACCCAAACGAACTGAATTTTGGTCTGCCTTTGGAACGTTCACCATTTTGCACAGCAAAATTGCGTGTAGTGTTGATTATCGTGTCCTAGATGGCGTTAAGATCAAGATTCGCTCTTCGAATTTCTTGCATTTGCCTTTAGGCGAAAAATTGGATTGGTTTTCTTCGCTTTTCCTAGCCATACTGATGAGACCTGATATAGGTCGAAACGCGTCTATGGATGGAAAAGCGGAGAAAATAAATCCAAAAACTTTTCTCAAAGAACTGATTACGTCACTTGATTCTGATGGAACGGGTGCCTTGAGAAGTTTTTACAGAAATCAATTATCAAACAACTATCAACAAAAAAGTTAGGCTTTCACAGTAGATTTGCTCAAAATCGAGAATCGCCCTCTTTCAGTAAAAAACGGTGAGATGATATCAATATGCGGTTTGCACCATCGGAGTTTTTATGAAATTCGAGCCTTAGAAAAGGGGAGTTAATTTTTTTTCTCCCGCTCAGAAAGCGACGTTTACTTATTCAAAGTATGCAAATTGGCCTGGGTGATCCTTATTTTAACTTATATTTTGTAAATCTTTTGATTTTCCAATGGCACTTTTTTTTGTCGCTTAAAATCCTGTGCATTTGTTCACACCTGACGAGTAACTATTTTTCAAAATATTTATTTGTTTGAACCAACCGTTTAAGGAAAGCCTTAACAATAAGTAGGTATTCCTCATAATAACATTTTTACATGGAGAAATGTCACTTCATTGAAGTTGGCTGATATTGCTTTTGACATGCCTTCCATGAAAAGAAATAGTTGCGATTTGCTCAATTCAAAGAATCCAAATGATAGACGATTTAGGTAGGTAGGTACCTACCTATGCTTTTTATAATTGATTTTAGCTAGCCATTGACTTGAGATTGGAAAATGTTTTCAAATATGTAATCCAAAGTTAGGGCCAATGGATTATTGGATATAGCTTTTTTGAACAACTGAATACAGAGAGGTGCAAATCGTTTTGCTTAATTTTGAACAGTTTGGATTCTACAGTTTTTTGAGTCTACTCGATTCAAATATGTATAACAATTAATATACCTACTAATCAAGGCTGTATAGAGAGTTTTGTGCAAAATGCTCAGAATTTTAAGTAGAATGGAAAACTTTTTTTTCAACCATTTATTAACATTTTTTTTTATAGTACATATATACATATATTACACATAATCTTAAATCAGTGTATAAAACACTGGTCTCAAGCAGTGGCGTATCAACCCAGCTCCGGGCCTGTTTGCCAAAATTTTTGCGGGCCCATCACAAGCCCCCCGCTGGAGGCTAAATTTTTTTTTGAGTAACCCAAACTAACCCAAATTTCGACCCAAAAGTCGTTCAAAAAACACTCCTAAAATTTTTTATTAGGTAGGTATTTTTATTTAAACGTTGAATTGTGAATTCACCATTTTCAAAAGTGGTATGAATAATTATATCCTGTTCACAATCCGATGTTCACAGGTGCAGGTAAATTTATCACCATAGGCGCAACTAGGGGAATGCTTGGGGGTGCTAAGCACCCCTAAAGCAAAAATTAGCACTCCTATTTGGCATCCCACCATAGCACTACCTAACACTTATATAAAAAATTAGTGCAACCAAATTATTTTATGTATTTTTTTTGCACTTTTTGTACTTACTTACGTCATCGATGACGTCATAATTTAGAAAAAAGTATTTCTCGTTGATTAATTCATAGAGCACGTTCGCAATTATTATTGTTAAAATCAAGACTTACTTAAAATATACGGTTTTTATCTTATATTAACATTTGGGATGACGTCATCGAACAAGGTCAGACAAATGTTGTCAATGTCTATGTTTATTCTATATCTTAAGGTGACATTGAAATACCGGCTCTTAAAAAATCATTGGAGTCCCAAATATATAAATTAATTAACTGCGTATTATACAGGGTGTTCCTAAATATCATGTACAAACGACAAAAGGTGATTCTTTTTTTTTACGACTGAAATTTCAAATAATATGTTCTAAAAAATTGACTTATTTAAGCAATTAAAAAAAATTCACCCTCTTACATTTTAATTTGTTTCTAGAAAACTTGCAAAGAGAAAATTTTGAAAATTTTCCCGGAATAAGAGGAAAATGAGAAGCTCATTTTACGAAAATTTCAGTAAAAAATTAATCCAGGCAAAATTTTAAAAAACTTACTTTTCAGCAAAATTAAGGAGAATTCATCCTCTCACATTTTAATTTTTTTCTAGAGATCTGGCAAAGGGAAAATTATGAAATGTTTCCAGAAGTAAAAGAAAAGTGAGTAGCACATTATAGAAAAATTTCAAAATTTTCCAGTCAAAAATCACTCCAGGAAAAATTCTGGGAAACTGCCTTTTTTAGGCACCCTCTTACAACCGGGAAACTGGCAAGAAAATTGTGAAAATTTTCCAGAAAAAGAAGAAAATAAAGAGCTCATTATAGCAAATTTTGTAATTTTCGAAGACTCGTAATTTCCGTAATTTTTCTTTAGAAATTTTTTAATTCCTGTAATTTCTCAAAAAATTCTTATAATTTTTTTATTAATTCCTGTTGTTCTTCAAATTTTCGTAATTTTTTAATTCCCGTAGTTTCTCACAAAATTCCGTTATTTTTATAATTCCACGTTTTTGTATATTTCAAAAAGTAGTAGGTAATTCCCATAATTTCCGTATTTTTTCTGGGCATTTTTCAAAATCATTTCCCGAGAGCCTTTGTGATTTCTAATTCTCGTAATTCCCGTAACTTTTTCGTAATCCCTGTAATTTTTTATAATTCTCGTAACTTTGATACTTTTCGTAATTTTCAATTCAATTTTCAATTGTCGTAATTTTTTAAATTTCTTAGACGTTTTTTGAAATTTTATAATTTCCCGGTCTTTATAATTTTTGTAATTGTAATTCCTGATTCTTGTAATTTTTGTTATTTTCTAACTTTTTGAAAATCATCATAGGTTTTTTCGATTTTTGCAATTTGTTAATAAATTTCCGTGATTTATTTCCAGAATTTTCGTAACTTTTGTAACTTTTCTAATTTCCATAATTTTTTAAAAATTTAATTATTTTCCGTAGTCCCGAAATTTTTCGTAATTTCTCTAATTTTTTCAATTCTCGTAATTTTCGTTAATTAACAAATTCCTTAATTTTTGAGTTATTTCCGATATTTTTTTTTTTTCAATTTTTCGTAATTTCCGTAATTTTTGCAATTCCTAATTTTTTTTATGATTTTCCTAATTTCCGTAATTTTTTATGATTTTCGTGTTTTCTGTTATTTTTTTAATTCCCGTAATTTCTTTATTTTATTTTTCAATAATAATAAATCCCGTAAGTTTTTGAAATTTCCGTTATTTTTGAAATTCTCGTGATTTTTATTATTTTTTCGGTAAAACGTAATTTCCGATAATTTTTTGCAATTCTACGTAATTTTTGAAATTCGCGTAATTTTTTTCAATAATTTTCATTGTTTTCCGTAATACTCGATTTTTTTCTAATTTATAATTCTTCTCTCAATTTTTTTAATAATTAATGTAATTTCCATGATTTTTTGAAATTTTTGTGATTTTTGTTAATATTTTTCCATATTACGTAATTTTCCAATAATTTTCGTAATTTTACATAATTTTTGAAATTTCCATGATTTTATTTCGTAATTTTATAATTCTCCTAACTTTTCAATAATTGTAATTCCCGTATTTTTTGAAATTTCCGTGATTTTTTGTAATATTCGTTATTTTTCATTTTTATAATTCCTGTAATTTACGTAATTTATCAATGACTTTTGTAGTTCTACGTAATATTTGAAATTGCCAATAATTTCCATTGCTTTTGTAATACTCAAATTTTATAATTCTGCTTTTTAGTTTTTAATAATGGTGGTTTCCGTAACTTTTTAAATTTTCCGTAATTTTTGCAATTCTCGTAATTTTTGTTACTTTTCCGTTATACGTTATTTTCCAATGTTTTCGTAATTTTATAATTCTCCTAATTTTTTTCAAATTTAATTTTCGCATGATTTTCGCAGTTCTACATAATTTTTGAAATTCCCGTGATTTTTGTAATCCTCGTGATTTTTGTAATTTTTTCGTAATTTCCGTAATTTGCTAATGATTTTTGCAATTTCACGTAGTTTTTGAAATTCCCGTAATTTTTTAAAATAATTTAGATTACATAAGTATTTCCATTCCCGGTTTTTATCGTAATTTTGCAATTCTCATTTTAATTTTTCAATAATTGTAAGTGCTGTAATTTTTTCAAATTTTCAGGAAATTTGCAATTTTAATGATTTTTGTTATTTTTTTGTAGTTTCCGTATTTTATGTAATTTTTCAATTATTTTTGTAATTTTGCATAATTTTTGAATATCCAGTATTTTTAAATTTTTTTTATTTTCATTGCTTCTGTAATACCCGATTTTTTTGTAATTTTTTAATTTTCCTCTTAGTTTTTTAATAATTAATGTATTTCCCGTGATTTTTCAAAATTCCCGTGATTTTTGCAATTTTTTCGATTTTTTTCATTTTTTCGCGATCCCTGTAGTTTTTGAAATTTCTATAATTTTTTAATTTATTTTTATTAATTCTCTATTTTCCGTATTCCTGTATTTTCCGTAATTTTTTAATGGAATTTTTATAATTTTCCTAATTTTTGTGATTTCTGTAATTTTTTGCGGAATCTTCGCAAATTCGGTAATTTTTTGATTTTTTCGTAGTTTCTAATATTTTTCAATTTTTGTAATTCTTTGATAATTTTTTTTGGTAATTTTTTAATTCTTTTAATTTTTATACCTAATTCTCATAATTTTTTAAAAATCTAGTAACTTTTTGTAGTTTTGAAATTTTTGTAATTTCTGCTAATTTCAATTTTTGTAATTTTCGTAAAATTTTCCGAAATTTTTGCAATTCTTATATTTTTCAAATTATCAATTCAAAACTATAGGAATTATATACATAATTCAAAATTTCAAAAAATATTCTGAAATTACAAAAAAATAGGGGAATTACAGGAATTATTCCAAAAATGCAGGAATTACTCAAAGTTATTCAAAATTACAGGAATTATTTGTAAATTACGGAAATTTTCTCAATATTACAGAAAATTACAGAATTTACGAAAAATGGAAATTATGAATAACGAAAAATTACGAGAATTATGGACATTACGAAAAATTATGAAAATTACAGAAATTATTGCAAAAATTTTAAAATTTTCAAATGAGAAATCACTCCATAAAAAATTCTGGAAAATTAACTTATTTAAGCAAAATTAAGGAAAATTCACTTCTTACATTTTAATTTTTTTTTGGAAAACTGGCATTGGGAAAATTTTGAAAATTTCCCAAGAAAAAGAGGAAAGTGAGGAGCTCATTATAGGAAAATTTCGAAATTTTTCAGTGAGAAATCACTCTAGGGAAAATTCTGGAAAATGACTTTTTCAAGTAAAATTAAGGAAAATTCATCCTCTCACATTTCAATTGTTTCCTGGAAAATTGGCAAAAGAGGAAAATGAGGAAAGTCAGGAGCTCATTATAAGAAAATTTCAAAATTTTCCAATGGAAAATCGCTCCAAGAAAAATTCTGAAAAAATGATTTTTTCAAGTAAAATTAAGAAAAACTCATCCTCTCACATTTTAATTTATTTCTGGAAAACTGATAAAGCAAAACTTGTGAAATTTTTCCAGAAGAAAGAAGAAAATGAGGAGTTCATTATAGGAAATTTTCAAAATTTTCTAGTGAAAAATCACTCTAAGGAAAGTCGATAGGAAAGTTCTGGAAAATTGACTTTTCTAAGCAAAATTCATCCTTTCACATTTAAATTTTTTTTTGGAAAACTGCTAAAGAAAAAATTTTGAAAATTTTCTAGGATAAAGAGAAAAGTGAGGAGCTCATTATAGGGAAATTTTGAAATTTTCCAGTGAAAAATCACTCCAGGGAAAATTCAAAGAAAATTGACTTATTTAGGCAAAATTAAGGAAAAATCATTGAGGTAAAATAATAAGGAAGCGACATAAGGAGAAAAAAGCGTATCCCACTTCCGCCATATTGTTACGACACTTCTGTCTGAGATTCTGTCACTTTTGTCATAGCAATGCGTCAAAATTGCATCAGGGACGCATTTTCCATCCGAAAATTTTTTAAATGCGAAAAATTTTTGAAGCCTAGAATTCCTATTTTGGCTCTTGGAAGGATCTCCTGTTTCAGTATGTTTCTGTAGCTACTTTTTTTTCTTGGTGTAATCTCGATTTTTTTACGTTTTTTTTTTGCAGTTTCGCTATGGAGCTCACGGGCCCCTCTCGGGCCCGGGCCTGTGTGCTTCGCAGACATGGCACACCGGTAGATACGCCACTGGTCTCAAGAATATAATATTAATAACAAAATGGTGTTATATATGTTAAATGTTTAATCGAATAAAAAATCTCATACCTACCATATTTAAAACCTATTTTTAGTGCTAATGTAGGTACAAGCTGAGATATAAATAATTGTCATGCACAATATTGCCAAATTTCAATATTAATAGATTTTTATTGTACTTCACGTGAATAGACACACGTAATTGCAACCTGAAAAAGCAGAGCGTGATCCATTTTTTTGTATGTCGTTGTTGCACAATTGGCAGGTTATTATTTGCAGTATTTTGATTGCGGCTTGACTGGCAAGCAATTACATAATATAGATAATTGTTGTACTCCAAACTGGGTGCTTGTTCAATTATATTCACAAATGTACCCTCCTGTGGCGGTGAAGCTTGCAGCCGCCACTGTATAGCCACCTTTAGATTTTATACTTAATGTGAATAGATAATATAGTTATAGACATTATAAGGTGGTTCTGTGATGTATTTCAATGTTTTCAAGTACTTTGTAACAATTTTTTCTTAGTTTTCTATACTTAGTATCTTACGTAACCATTAAAATTCTGTAAATACATAATTTTTAAATGTGGTTTCATTTTATTTTATTTGTTTCCGATTAACATTATCCTATCCTATAATGGGTTCCAGCGAGGAAAAAAAAACAAAAATAAAAATTGTAAATTCACACAACAGTATATTTTAAACGTAGGTACATATTTAGATAAAAAGGTTTGGACTGGACAGGTCGGAAATTGCGATTGGGGGCCATGTCCAGAAATAAAATATTTTTTGATTAGAGTAATTCAAGACATTTTTCTCTGCCCCAATTTATATTGATAGTTACCCAAATCAAAAGCTTTGCGCGTCATAATTACACAAGTTCGAAGGTTTATTTTTTTCTTTCGAGACATAATTTTGCTCGGAAAAAGTTCTACGCTGTTTCTTTGGCTCGGATAAACCAACATTTATTTTGAAAAACAACTTATGAGAAGCAGTTTTATTGTGTCAGATCCTACATCAGAAACCTGAAGCATACCTTTAGGTTCTCTTGACTAATGCTGGAAGAGAGACAACAAGAAGCAAGGGAAGACGTCAAAAAAGATGGATGAGATTGGCGAAAAATAGAGAAATATGGAAACAATTAGGTGAGACTTACAGCCACAAGTGCATGAATAGAGGCTGACAAAAAATAGAAGAAGAGAGAATGCAGACACAACAACAATAATAATTGGAACCACAAAACTAAAACACCACACTAGCTAGAACTGAATTTTCAATCCCGGAATTTCGGTACTGAAAAAAATTCTATCAGGGGGCGGATTACGAACTCTCGATTCGAACCGAAACTGCCATGTTACACCAAAATTTTGATTTCGAACGCACTCCATGCGAATGCATTTCGACGAAAGTCACTCGACTGGTTGATGTCTGTCGAAAAGCTATCGAAACAAAATCGAGTCCAATAAAGTTAAGTTATGTTGGATTTTTGGGGGCCAAAATTCGTTTGATTCTTTGTTTTGTTTTGACGTTTTGTAGTATTTTGAACTTTGAACAGAAAAATCGCTGAAAAACAATGTCTTAAAATTGATGATGGCCATTGGCAGGTTTTATTATCTTTTATGGATAAACATTCTCTATTTGCTAGAGGTCAATTTGCAGGGCCCAACGGCAAAGTCATTCAAAGGAAACACTGGAACAGCTTACAGAAAATAAAGAATCTGTGGGTAATTGTAGATGAGGTCGTACCAAATCAATAAGGTTCTGGACCAAGACTTTGCTAAGTCTGAATAGTTCAATAAACCTTGCCTCTGGGTCTTTTTTCTTGAAACAGGGGAGCAGCGTTCCCAAGAGAACGAGTGTTCCGTCTTCGTACCTACTTATGTCGTTATCATTTGCATATCATTGAAAAAGACAGAACACTCGTTCTTCTGGGAACGCTACTCCCTGTTTCAAGAATAAGGACCCTGGATGTAAAAAGGAAGCATAACTTTCTCTGATTTCTCTTCTCATATGAATTAATGCACGATTTTCTCGTCTTCTTGCATCATTTTGCTTTCGCCACCTTATGACTCTGATTATGGTAAACATATTACTAACTTTTTCCTTTTATAAAAAATTTTAAACACTTTGAAATTGCGAAATTAATCTTTAAAGAACACAAATAACCACAACACAACAATAAAAAATTAGAATTAGTATTAAGTCAATGTCAAAAAATTGACAAAATTTGGTAAATATGAGCGAAAGGCGTCACAAATCTCCGAACTTACACGAACACAAAACGAAACTTGTACCTAATCAACTCTGACGTTTCGAGCACAATCGATGCGTATTCACTTTCGTATCGTGTGTCCATTTCGAGTCGTGTTTTCGTAATCCCCCCGCAGGTTACCTTTATTCAATACTGAGATTTCCGGTGTTCAGTATCAAGATTTAAACGAATTAAATTTTTATTTTATTAAACATCGTGATATTTTACATTAATTATAACATACAAAAACAATATATAAATATAAGAACGTAAGCGCTAGTAACATAATTTTATAAATTTATTCAAATTAAAATATAATCTTGAAAATTAAAATGCTCAACCAATCTATCGTTTAGGCTTCCGTAATTCCGGTATTGGAAAAAAAATACCGAGACTAAAATACCGGATTAAAAACGCCATGATCCTGGGATTTTGGGATCCTGGGATTGAATGTTCACACACCTATCATAGCCTTGAGACAATATAATCATCAACTTTTCAGGTCAAGAGGTAAACTTAACAGGAAAAAAAAATTACCCCATTTCATTTCATACCAAAATGTTTACCGTCTAACCCTTTTAACGTTTCTCTTAGCACTACCACCAGCAGCGTTATTGAAAGTTTTTTGTCTATTATTCGACATGTCAGGACTACTGTTTCCATCAATTCCATTGAACGAGCCGTTAGTAGAAAACTCGGTAGCTGCATTCGTGGTTTGTTTTCCAAGTGTTTTACTGTCTTCATCAATGTCATTATGCATCATCAACGGCATACTTGTGTCGCTGGAATCGTCGTTTATTTGTGAGTCTTCATCTGAATTCGATTCTGCTGCGAAAATACAATTTCCACAACTAATCAGTCTTATGAATAAAATTTAGCAAATGCTTTTGCTCTACCTCCATCTTTTTTTCTGCTGCATTAGAGCTGAACATGTTCATCTTAAAAAATTTGAGCAAAAGCATTTGCTTCTGTTTTATTCATATGAGCCCAATGCCCCAATGCCCCAATGCCTATTTAGAACTTAAAAAAAAAACAAACAAGCGAAAAAAAACTTTATTAGCCTTTGATTGAGTACTTTTCAATAAAAGCCACAGTTAATGTAGGGAAAATATAAAATGATTCAAATTCTATAAATTTGGCACTAGATACTATCAATATTCTAATTAGCGACTAAAAAATAACAAAAATAATATAGATACAGTGAAATCTTAACCAGACAATTTTTTTGCTGTTGAACAAACAATAGCTATCGGTATTCATATTCTGCAATCAATAAATATTCGAAAACAAATAAATTGTCTTCAAAAATAATGCAGCAGAAACCTCCAAGACGTATTGCTTTCCCAGACATTTCCTACTACAACTAATTATAAGAATTTAAACTATTACACGGCCACAGAAGAAATTATTATATCCCTAAGGTCTCACAGATTTATAAAGGGGACTAGATTCAAGACATTCCTACCTACAGTTTCTATTCTATATCTACATCATTGAAGTTTTTAGAATAATTAAAAACTGTAAAATTCAATTATTTGCTAAAGATGCAATAAATATAGCAAAAACAAAAATGATGATCATTAAAAATAGAAATGGGAAAATTGATTTTGTTGATGATGTAGGGATTGCAATATAAACATGGAAATAGTGGTGCAATCCAACTAGGTACTTGTGCAGTAACTATATTGTATTAACACTTGACACATCGCTAAACACATTCAAGTTCATTAGAAATAATAAATAATATTGCTAAAAAGATTGATGTTCATAGTTGGTTATCTGACCATTTAAATAGTTGAAATAAATTAACAGTGAATAAAAAAATAATAGCACCCCATTTTTGCTTTTGCTCCAGATTACTTTTCCTTTTGAATTGAAATCATACTCTGAAAAAAAAAGAACAGGAAAAAGCATTAAGAATAGTACTGGTATACAACATACACATAGCACTTATTCAACTGATAATTTTTATTTACTTAGATATGGTTAGTAGAATGAGTCTGCATTATACAGGTTTTAAATATTGCAATTACCTCTGGCCTGCTGGCCTTGCTTCTCATGTCTGGTTACAAGAGATTCCACTGTAAATACATATTATGGACAAAACAAATTCATAATTCACTAGACACTACTTTAAGCATAAGGGTTGCTATCTACTTCATAATGGATCTTACTTTTTTCTTGATTGGACTGTTCTGCAATTCCACTTACAGCCTAAAATATTACACAGTTTACCAAATATTTGAATATTTATCTACAAAATAAATACCTACAACCAAAACTAGCTTTATAGCAACATGTTATCAAATTTATTTTTAATAGTGAATAGTCAGAATAGTGAATAGCGTAGGATTCATATATTGTAGTATGTTCAAACTTCGCAAAATAGAAAAGTTCAAAGACAAAAAATAGATTTGGTCTCAAAATAAAATATTACCGAAGAAGCCATGATTGAAAATCAGAAATTAAAACCAAAACATGAAATATTGAAAAAAATATAGGTATCAGTCCAACTGAAGGGTAAGTTGAGAAGTAAGTAAATACTCAAAAGTAAAACATTTGAAAGTTATCAAAGTCTGGGTCATTACAATATAATACAAACAATGACATTGGGCTTTTCATGCATACAATGAGATAAAGAATTACAATAAGATCCAGGACCCATAGCAGTTAAAAACCAAAGCGCCAAATATTAAAATTTTGCTTAGCCCACATTAAATATTCAGTAGTCGATTATCATCTCAGTTATTATGTTTTTTACTAAAATATTCAGGGCCCTAGTACGCTTCATTGTCCAAAACAGCCTTGGTAAGCTTCTCAAAGTTCTTATAACATTCAATCTCTCTCAACCCTTTTGGAAGGTGGTTTAACAGTTTTTCACCTTCCTATATGTAAATTGTAAGTACCTATTTTTATAAAGAGAGGAACTTGGGGAGGAAGCATTGCTTTTACTCCTACTAAAACAATAGTCTATTTCCAAGATTTTGAAAGCTGTCATTTCGTTATGGGACACGACCCCTACCCCATATTCAAATTTGAAGTGTTTTTTTTTCCCCAGATAGGGGGATGAAAAAAACTGAAAAATAGTTCCCTCTCAAATCAACAATCGATGTGTTCGATCATATTTCCATATTTTCATTTCAAATCCAAAAAATTGGGGTGGAAAGTTCCCATTGGTCCATCTGTATAGAATTGGACATTAAAATGAAAAATGTAACACCAAAAAAACCAACAAAAAATCTTTAGAACAATCATTCATTGCCATCCTTATACAAAATCCTCACATAAATCTCAAATTTCCTTCGCCAAACAATCGAGAAAACAATAATTGATTAAAATCAAAAAAACAAAAAAACGTAGTTTTTGAAGAATTATATTCTATCTTTTTTAAGAAATGTAGTCCACGGTCTTTTCTAAAAAAAAAATGTATTCTTACAATTTCTAAAATTAGCAAAGCAAGCAATAAAATTATTATAAAACGCAAAGGTCTTATCCACTTCATGGGTTATTGTGAAATAATTATATACAAACTGAACCACAAGGCTTGATAATCAAAATACTTACAGCCATAGATGTGATGGAGCTCTTTGAGAACAATCTCTCCGCCTCTTTGAATTTCCTATTGCGTTTATCCGCTTTTGAAGTCGTTGTGGTTTTATTACTGGAGAGGTATCTGTCCCAACCCCGTATTATATTGCCATACAGCTGGGTGTCTTCTAAATAAGAGCCTTCAAATGCGTAAATTTGTCTCTCGAGGTTTGCCAAAGTATCCTACAATATAAATTTGTGGGGTTGCATTTTGTTATTCTGATTTTAATTTTAAAGCTTTCCTTACCCCAATTTCTGTTTTCCTTTTCACCAAATCTGCAAGTTCTTGTCGGGCATCAATGGAATTGGTCTTGTTCGACATTGTAAGTAGATCAATGAAGTAGATACTTTTTCGATGTTCAATAAAAACCTAAACAAGAATTCCTGGAGAAATTCCTATTTTCCTACTTTTTTTTCTGCAATAATAATAATATTATTGATAATAAGGTCAGGGTGTCTATTGATTTGTTGTGGTTAGAGTTTGAGCGACAAGTCAAATAAGTTTGACATTCCTTGAGGCGCTGCAATGACAAATGAAGTTTCATACAACTAACCTCGGGTAGACAAAAAGCGTTTTCATCACGCAGCGGTAAAGTGATGATGTTTGTCAAATTGGGAATTTAATGGTCAGTAGTGGTGACCGCATGAAAATATTTGGTCGACGTATGTAGAACCGAATTTTCGCGACGAACGTAGTTCATTAATAGTTCATCCAAGCACGAACCCATAGTTCGCCTTGTGACGTCATTAGTTTAAACGCTGGCTAGCAGCTGCGTCCATGCTTCCGGCAAACTACGTTCAATATGACGTCATGAGTTTCTCGCGAAAGCGTTTGTGTGCATGAAATCATGGAAGTAGTTCGTCGCGAAAATTCAGTTTAGGTTAGCTGTTCATTTTTGTTGTTGTTTGGAGGCTGTATCTGACTTTCTGACATTTAGGGCCGGTTTATTCCAAGGATAATACACACTAATAAGAATTGCTTTTCGGCCTCGTTTTTGGAAATCGCAGCTATATTGGTGTATCACCATTGCCGACCTCTTTAACTAAGTCGTAAGCTGTTTGCACTGGCGGTACTAGTTTAAAATTTAAATTTATGGCGGAAAATATTATTTAATTTTGATTAACATAATAGGCAAAGAGGAAGATGTATGCATAAAGCAAAAACCCACGGAATCTCAACCTGTGGTGCAAGCAGCCTACGTCAAGGCGAGAAACGACATGCTGCTACGTCACAACTGGTGATTTGTGTGTATTATCCTTGGGTTTATTCCAAGGATAATACATACTACTACTACAGGATAGGTTATGAGGACGCTTTTCAGTGACGATTTTTAAGGAGCTCCTCACCCGTAGCCTTACACTCTGGTGCTCCAAATAACTGTTGTTTCACTGGAACGCATCCTACTTTAAGCGTCGTATTGCTGCAGGTGTTTGATAGGGTAGGGGGGAGAAAAAACGAACAGTTCAGTTGTGCGAAACTCTGTCGCACAGGAACGCCTATAAACAGCCCAGGGTACTTTAGAGCAGCTCAGGAGTGCTTAACGTGCGTCACTGGAAAACTACTAGCCTGTGTAGTTCAAATCTCAAGGCCCCCCTCTATGCCAAAGCACCAGTGATGCCATAGGCATCGAGTCGTTTGTCGCCTTGACGTAGGGTGTTTGCACCACAGGTTATGACTCCGCGGGCTTTTGCTTTACGCATACTTGGTTTCACTACATTATTTAACATTCTAAAACAACTCTCTTTTAGATCTCGTTTGCATCTTCCTCTTTGCCTATTATGTTAATCAAAATTAAATTATATTTTTCATCATAAGCACAGCTGACGACCTAGTTAATAAAAACGTCGGCAATGGTGCTACACTATATGACCGCGATTACCAAAAACGATGCCGATATAAGCAACAAGAAGTAAGGACAATACTCACTACTGCATATGCACACGATTGCTTATCGGCCTCGTTTTTGGGAATCGCGGCAATGTTGTGTAGCACCAATGACGACGTCTTTTTTGACTCAACTCGTTTGAAAACTGCTTATAAATCAAATCAGAATATGATGCTTTATTGCGCATTAATGGCCATTTCCACCAAATATTTTAGGGGAGCCCTAACGATAGGTATGCCTTAAATTGACATTTCTTCATGTAAAAATGTCATTTTAGGGAATACTTATCGTTAGGGCTCCCCTAAAATAGTTGGTGGAAATGGCTATAAGACACAGCATCCCATTAACAATGCTAATTATATAGGTATATACAGACAGGACCAGGCTACTCTAGACTCAAGCTTCAATGGAACCAGTAGTTGACTGATAGAATGCCACAGTTTCAGATACGTGCTGATACCAGAGATATGTGCTGATACCCATGTTGAGCTGCATGTTATTAAAATTCGTGCATCTTCGGCAGCTCAGCTATACTTATTGGCTTCGGCAGCACCCAGGCCGTATATAAGAGGGGGCTAGGGGGTTCAAACTACTCCCAAAAATACTGACCTATTTTCCGGTCCATCGCTTAAGCAGAAACAGGGTTGCTCTTGGGGAATTTTCGTGTGTGCCTGCAGCAGCACTCAAATAGTGCCACTTACCTAATAAATTGACTTTCTACCCATTTCTTTTTATTAAATGACTAAAAGGAGAAAGATATAATATAGTTCATATATTAAATCACTATAATGACAATTGACAGTCACGTCACTATCACTAGTCTTAACTCCTACTCACATCCAAGGAGAATATTCACATCGACAGAGCCCAAGACCGACAGATCCACCACAATTCTCACAGGCAGGGGGCGTTCTTTTTTCCATCAGACATTCACCAGGTGAAAACATGATGCCACCAAAACGTTTTTTTATTGATGGTGGAAATATGATGGTCCACCACACCGCGTTCCTATTTTACTGGTGAATTTATGGTGGATTTCATCCGATGAAAGCCTGATGCAACCAAGCTCCAACAGAAAATTTCTGTGATTACTCTGGTGGTTTTGCGTTGGCAGACCACATAACCTTAGAAAATTAACTACTGCTTGTTGTGTGACCCGCATAGTCTTTGATTTGTTTTTTTAGCTCATTTGTTTGAAGCTATAAGATAAGGAATGGAGAACCAGTAAGCTGATGACGTAACTTTTATCTACAATAGGCCGGCATACACACACGTTATTTTGCGCGGTTTATCGTGGCGTGTTGGGATGTAGCGGTTTGCACGCGCGAAAGAACGGCGTGGCAAAAAAAGCGTCATGTTCCATACACTTGACAAAGTATCCAAATGATTTCGCACGTGATTACGCGCGGCATATCAGTTAGAAAGGAAAAACCGTATGTGTATGGGTAAAAAGTGTCATTTATCGTGTCGTTTGGAAGTGCATGTTGTCATGTACTAATTTTCAACATGATAGTTCGCTACGCGGTGTTTATGTCTCCGTACTAGCCTCAAAACCGAGACGTGGAATGGCGTGTGGACACGGTTGTGAACTTCACTATCATTTACTTAAGTACTGACGCCACATTCAAGATGAAAGCACGTCTGAAATCCCTTCCCATTCTATCATTGCGCGCAGCCCTCCTAACTCACGCACATGATTTTTCACAGGTTTTTGCAGATGACACGATAAACCGCGTGAAATAACGTGTGTGTATGCCGGCCTTATGGGTAAAAAATGTCATTTATCGTGTCGTTTGGAAGTGAATGTTGTCATGTACTAATATTCAACGTGATAACTTGCAACGCGGCATTCATGTTTTCATACTAGCCTCAAAACCGTGACGTGGAATGGCGTGTGGACACGGGTGTGAACTGCACTATCATGTACTTGAGTAGTGACGACACATTCCAGATGAACGCACGTGTGAAATCCCTTCCCATTCTATCATTGCGTGTAGCCCTCCTCACTCACGCACATGATTTTTCACGGGTTTTTGCAGATGACACGATAAACCGCGCGAAAGAACGTGTGTCTATGCCGGCCTAATATTTGTCACATTCAGTAAGAAAAATGACTGCAAAGGAAATTGAGATCCTCTGAGGAGTCTTCTATTTCGCATTGCAATGGCAGCATTACTCGCATTATCCATTCCAATTTTTCTGAATTAGAAGCACACTTATATAGATATTTCGATTTTGGTCCACCAAAGCGTTCTTTTATGTAAATTGTGGTGGATATATGGTGGTGGTGCTTCCACCAATGCCATCAAAGAGTCGCGTGACAGATATAAGCTGATGCAACAGTAAATTTTTGGTGGAAATTAACATAAACTTTTGGTGGAAAAAAGAACACGTCCGCAGGTAGGTCTGAGGACTCTGAGGTCATTAGCACAGAAATAAAATGAACAAAAAATACAATAGAATACAAATAAACGAAAAATCCTGCTCCAGGTCCAGTCTTTCTCATCTTATAAATTTGTAAAAGGATAATATCTAATCAATGTGAATCGTGCCAAATTTTTCAAAGTGGTGCCACCGTGCATTTTGCGGGCGAAAAGTGCCACTTTTGGCACAATTGTGCCCTTTGAACAACACTGAGCAGAAAAGAAAACAATTTCGTAACTATCTGCCCAAGAACGGCCTTTGAGGCGTTTTTAAATACAGATGAGTCATTTTCTCCAATTATTAAAGATTTTCTACAAATGTTAATTGTAGCTTTTACCTTGCTCTACGGCAACACTAGAGAGATATGATATTTTTCGACCTAAAGCCGCGTACAGACCGAATTTCCAACGCTAGCCAACGGCACATGTGAACTATGTTGGAACTACGCGTTGGCTTTGGTGTGTACGGTGGAGTGGACGATGTTCTCAAATCCTTTTCAATGTTTTCCAATTCCAACGCCAATGACAGCACATGTGCTGTTGGCGTTGGAAATTCGGTCTGTACGCGGCTTAAGACGGCTAAAATCTTTGCTAAGAAATTAAATGGTAAACGAACGTTTAATCGCACTTAGTTCATGTCTCGTAGAATTTTCCACAACTTATCTCTTAATTTCAGGCAACTATTCATAACTTTTAATATCCGTCAGAACTTTATCCAATCCAATAACTTCAAGATTTTCTGATTTTCTTATTAAAATAAAACGCTTATATAGGTACTTTTTTTCTTATTTCGTTTTTGGCCAATTCAACAACAACCACATGATATCTTTCTGCGGAGCCGGTTTCGGCACACTTTTCTTCACATAAAAGTCTAGGAGACTTTCCAGTCCCTGTCATGTTTGAAGTCATTTTTACTTAACTTTCAACACTGCTTCTATATTTTTGAAATTAAGGAGCATTGTATACATTGACTATTAATTTTCTCTTTTAACTGCTTTACGTCTCAGTAATTTCTTTATTTCTATTCGTAGTCTCCTTTCAGTGCTGAGTTTTCTAATCTTTAAACGGAGTTTAATAAATAATTTTTTGCCTTCATATATGGATAGAGCCACGGATAAGTTCTGAGTGGGGAGGTAACCTCACTCATATTGGCCTTCATTCTACCAACGAATCATGCCAGAAGAAAGTAGTATCATCTGCAAATACTGTGAATCTACCTGTTCCTGTTGTTGTGGTAGATCATTTACATAAATGAGGAAGAGCAAGTACCAAGCCCTGAGGGACGCCCACACTAAAACCAAGTTTCTTAGAGGTACCACCATTAAATTTATCAGCCGAACCCGCTCCAATGGGCCCAAAGTTAGGACATGCTCCCCAACCTTATACAGAACGAGCGCTACTCTCTTTAGGTATAAGTGTTTTCTATTATGTATATCAAAATAGATCCCTAGAATTTGTTTACCAAAAATAATTCTCAATCAAGGGTTTTACTCACATCTATTTTGTCCCATTTTAATTCTGCATATAGTTAATTTTTTCAACGCGTTTTTATTTTTCCTGTTCCTATAATGGGTTCTGCAAGGATACAAAAACAAATAAAAAAACATTTTTGAAATCGGCACAGCAGTATATATTTTTAAAATATTTTGAAAAATCAACATCAGAAACAAGTTTTAATGTGTTCAAAAGCTGTACTTCTCTCCATTTATTTATTTTTATGGAAGTTCCATTTTAAAACTAACAGTAGAAGCCAACAGCAAACTTAAGAAACATAAAACAAAATGCCATCTCTTTATACACATTGCCCGATTCCAGAAATGACATACCGAATCAAAACTGGACCACTGATCTCAAAAATAAATGGATAAACAAAGAACGCTTGGAATGCTGCTAATTTACGAGGTCATAATAAGTCTGTTTCTGCAGAAATCACAAACCAGTCAGAATGAATTTCATTGGTTAAACCTAATGTAAACAACTGGGACAGCTGTGAGTGTGCGCAGTAGATATATGTACTGTGCGTGCACAAAATCTGGCCAATGAAAATGAAGGAATTTCAAAATTTAGAACAGTTGTTCGAAAGATGAGACACTGCGCAGGCGTTAGGCTGTTCCGTTGCACAATTGTTCATAGAATATTGACCCCAAATTTATGCACAAGTTTAGCCAATCGAGCCGTACGATTGTTTATCCATTTATTTTTTAGATCAGTGAACTGGATGCGTAAATGCAACATCAATTTGAGCGGTAAGTTGCGGTATCTCAAAATGGAGTATGATGGAAATGTTTTATGCAGAAAAGGTGTACGCTGTTGAAATCTTGAGAGGGATTAATATTGTGATGGAACCATTAAGTATATTCTTTGTTATTTTGTGTATGATGTACAGAAAAATAAATTTGACCGTATCTTCAATTGAAATAATATATGAAGAGAACAACAGGGTGATGAACAGGCTTGGCAATATCAATTGAATCATTGAATTTAAACAGAAACCATTTAAAAAAAAAAATAATAAGATAAATAATAAGATAAATAATGTAGTTCAAAACTTGAAAACGTTGCGAGCTCTAAAAAAGATTTTCTAATCTACATTTTTTCAAAAGTTTCTTCATAAGGACAAGTAGTACATTTTCGAGAATAAGTATCATCTTCTTCATTATAAACCTCCTCCACAAATTCATGACTGTGAGCTGCAGCACTAGTCCTATCATACAAGCTGCTTCTCATATTCATTCTCAACTCTTTTAACTGTTTATTATATTTTTTAGTTTTTGATATGACTTTTTTCTCTTCTCTTCTTTCCCTTTCCTCCTCCAAGCCCTCAGCATTATTCCATATTTCGAATGCTCTCTTCTCCACTTCCAATTCCAAATATAGCTTCATGTCGCCCCAATGGACGTTGTGGGGATTTTTACGTGTTATGAATTTTAGAGGAGGTTCACGTTTTTCTAGATCACAATCTTGAAGGAGGTATTTGGTTTTTGCGTCGGTTTTTGTTATAAGCTTATATGTATCAGATTCTCTACAATATAGAATGTTTATTAAAAATAGGTACTTATAATGAAACTGTACATGATAGTTATTAAACTTCAGCACCCCTAAATTGCACTTTTTTGCAGTTCATTCCGTGTGTGTTTTCAACAGTTTTCCAGCAGATGTTAAGTTTTCGTCGCGCTTTCTTGATAACTCATAGAAATCAGAACTATAAAGTATAAATGTGCCTGATTGAAGTATAAAGGTGCATCCAGACCGGTGCAACAACCACCGAAAACGTTAACATTCACGAACGTTTTGCAACAAGCATTCGGCTCAGCGCGGATAACATCTTAACTGCTGGCTGCAACAATTTTTTGTTTATGTACCGAAACCGCATTTTGCGCCGCACAAAACAGAGCGCTCGCGAGCAAGTCTGAGCGCGCAACCGTCCAAACTGACATGTTCTACGACGTTCGCAAACGTTTTGCGCTGTGTGTTGCACCGATCTGGATGCACCTCAATGCATCTCGCATTATTGCAGAACCAATAAGACACATAGACCTTGCAGAGCGGAATTTCTCCAACTACTGAGAATGTTATTAGTTCATTACTCAAACTTTTATCTGACAAGCAGCCTAAAAATGATCTGAAATATTGCGGACCTATCTTGCTCCTCTCACCTCTAAACAAAATTTATAAAAAAAAGATAACTCCAGATCTACTTCAAGTGAAGTTTAGAAGGAAACCCATTCCGTTCCTGCAGAAATCACAAACCAGTCAGAGTGAATTTCATTGGTTGGAACTAATTTTCTGACTGTTTTCAACCAATGAAATTCGCTCTGACTGGTTTGTGATTTCTGCAGAAACAAACCTAATAAAAAACTGTTTAAAAAAATTCCACCAAAAAATGCCTATTTTAATCTCTCTGAGTGGCGATTGAGCTCTAGGTGTAGGTACTAAATTTATATACAGTACAGATGTTCCTGAGCCAGATACTCCTTTTCATGAGATGTATCAACAATATCTTTGAAACAACACTAATGTCATGTACTATGACTATATGACAAATAGATCAAATTTTAAAACTCCAACAGAAAAGTCTTTTCGCAACATCATACAACATCAAGTACAGGGTTATTGGTTATAAATGTCACCCCCTCTATCTTTTTTATTAGTCATTTTAGAAAAAAGTGTGCGAAATAAAAGTTTTATGGTTGAAATTAATTTTTTTGAAAAACTCACTTTCGCATATACAGGGTGTTTCAGAAAACCTGGTCGAGCTTCAACTTTCTTATTTTAAATGGAATACTCTGTATATTATTGAATATTCGGATTTTAGTATAGAACACAAGAAGGTTGTGATGTACTATATTATTAAAATTCTTTTATTCAATGCAGTCATGTTTTGGATTCATGTATTAATGAGAAATTCCGCATCCTCGCATTTTTATTGATATTAGAGACTCTGACGTCATAGTCGTTGCTCACATTTTCGCACCAGTTTAATTGGATTCTCAAATCATTTTATTTCAAAAAATAAGCGTTTTTTTTGGAAAATTTATAATTGTAAGGATTATCCGAAGAGTGTACAGGATGTTAATGAAATGTAACTCAAACCCCTCACAAAAACTCAAGTTTTTCTAGTATATTTTGTTTATAATTTAAGAGGGACAACACTGTATTTGATACTGTTCAGTTGAATTTTCACGGGTAGGTAAATCAATAAGGGTGCACTGTTGAAAAAATGCCAATATATAAGAAGAGCATTATGAACTACATACTTAGAATATCAATATAATTCAAACTCTGAAAAACTGTCAAAAATTCAGGAATTTCGAGTTCAAATAATAGGGAATTGATAAGTTCTTACTTGCACTCATCACAACATTTACAGTCAAATGTATCGAACAACCATGAAGTGGCAAATAGCTTTTTACAATCTCTACATTGGGGACGATCTGGTTCTATTATAGGTGCTTCTGGTTGTACAAGTGGTAAGTTCTAAAAAGTAAAAACATATTAATCTAGGTTTTTCAAATAACTTCATATTAGATTATATTATATTGGTCGAGATATTGGTATTCACATTTTCATCTGGTTGGTCTGGATGCTCTTCTAATAAGAAACCTCCACCTGTGTCCTTATATTTAGTTGCCCCAATTTTAATTGTAGTTTTGTCTATTGAGACAATTTCTCTAAAATTAAATACATTGCAAATGAACTATAATAGAATAGTTCAATCAACCAACTTACTTTTTTGCATAAGGGTGATGAACAAGTTTACTGTTTTTAATTGCAATTGCTTTTTGTCGGTTACGTTCAATGCGGTCTTTGAGATAAGCTGGTAATTCATCAGGGTTTTCCGACATTTTAAACTAATAATACACGGAATTTAGTGGAGTAAACACGAAAAACAACAACTAGAAAATAAAAAATAAAACGGCCAAAATTACAAAGAAATGTTTGGTTTGACTTTGACTTGACTTTTGACTTGACTTGACTAATAGCGTTTTCCATTTGTCTAATCAGGGCAAAAAAAATGTATCGTTATGCGTACGTAACATGCTTGTAGAAAAAGATGCGGATACACTCAGTGCGGCACTGATGACAAATGAAAATCGCCATGATTGGGCCTATGTTCTGATATCAACTGTCAGTACTGACCGTGCGTTCGGTATTTTGATCTGAGTTCTCCGAGCATAAATTTACCGTTCGTTTAGTTAATAAGTGTACTCGGTGCAGGCTCATTCACCGTTCATTTATTGAAATTTCTAGCCCTCTGATACAGCGTTCAACTGCTCTGTGTGCTCGCTGGTCACGTGATTACAGCTCCGCTCTGCACGCTCTGCTCTTTGAGCAAAATAACGAACGCAAGGTGAATTTACTGGACGCCGTTCCGATATCATTTTCAGTACGTAGATTCAGTCGATTCAGGGCGGGTATTATAAAACTACTTTGAGAGTTAACTTAAAGTTAACTTCTGGAATTACATGTAATTCAAAAAGTTAACTTCAAGTTAACTGTCAAAGCAGTTTTATAATACCCGTCCTCAGTACTGAATGACCACACAAGTTGAAATCGGAACGGCAAATGACAGTAAAATCAGCACAGTAAATCCAGTACTGGCAGTTGATATCGGAACATAGCCCGGTTACATTAAGAGCCGCTTTCCTGTATGGGAGTGTGTCGCCCGGAGCTACTCGGGGCGTTGAGCTCCCGAGCTGTACGTACCCGTCAACCTGTCAGTTGTCACATCCGTAGGTGGCTATTAAATTATTTGTTTCTTGTTATATCTCGGGATCGAACATTTTCAAAATATAGTTTTGATTTTCTTCAATTTTCAATAAATAAAAAACAAACTGCACCAACAAACAGATAATTATTTTTAAAATTTGACATATTTGACACGAAGACAGGCGTCTCACGCCATGATACTGGAACGGTACAAATCTAGCGCGTGGCGCCCCCGGGGTGCTCTAGAGCGCGCCAGGGCCAGGGCCAATGTGCATACTGGAAAGCGGCTCAGGCGGTCCCAGCGGCTTAATTCAGCCACTCAGCAGGAACTTTATTCTCGAAATTGGGGAGCAGCGTTCTCATTAGTTGTATTCCTTTCACACCTAGGAGGAGCTCCGGAACAGCTCCGGGGCTTCACGCGCTTATTCCTTTCGAAAAGTGTTTGTTGCACCACGCATCTCGTCCCTGCAAATCGGGGGCTACTCAACACCGGAGCGAGTAGCTCGAGTGTTTCAAACTCTTGAAAGGTATACAACTATTGGAACGAAGGTTCTGTCTTTGTCGTCCGGCATAACACTGACAATGACAGAGCAATCATTCTTATGAGAACGCTTGTTCCTTGGTTTCGAGAATAGAATCCCTGCTGAGTGGCTGAGCTTAGCCGTTGGGACCACTGGATGTACCCATTTGCTTGAGGTTAGGAGTCAGCTAGGTGCAAGGATGATACACACCTAGAAGGATTGCTTATCGGCCTCATTTTTGGTAATCGCTGCCATATTGGTGTGTTACCATTTCCGACGTCATAACAAGTCGTCAGCTGAGCCGCTTTCCAGTATGCACATTGGCGCTCTCTGGCGCGCTCCAGAGCACTTCGGGGGCGCCACGCACTAGATTTGTACCGTTCCAGTATCATGGCGTGAGCCGCCTGTCTTAGTATCAAATATGTCAAATTTTAAAAATATTTATCTGTTTGTTGGTGCAGTTTGTGTTTTATTTATTAAAAATTAAAGAAAATCAAAACTATATTTTGGAAATGTTCGATCCCGAGATATAACAAGAAACAAACAAATAAATAGCCACCCACGGATGTGACAACTGACAGGTTGACGGGTACGTACAGCTCGGGAGCTCAACGCCCCGAGTAGCTCCGGGCGTCACACTCCCATACTGGAAAGCGGCTCTGTTGAAACAGCCTACGTCAAGGCGAGAAATAACATGCTGCCTACGTCACAACTGCAGGTACCTGCCCCTTCGATGAATTGCTTTTTTGTAAATTGTATTTTGGAGTTACCTGGCTATCTACCAAAACAAACAAAAAATTAGTTCGTGTTTGGCAAAGAACGAGTCAATACCTAAAAATCTGATTTTTTCATAATGGCTAAATTTTTCCCCAGTTTCAATTTAGGAAGTGAGCAAGAATTCATATTCCCTTCGAGAATACTCATATTATAATGAACGTCTATGATGCTCTTCTATACCAACAACCTGTATGGGCGGGTATTATAAAACTACTTTGAGAGTTAACTTAAAGTTAACTTCTGGAATTACATGTAATTCAAAAAGTTAAGTTTGAGTTTACTCTCAAAGTAGTTTTATAATACCCGCCCTAAGGGTGAAACTTCTTAGGCGGCGTTCTGATATTTGGACGAAAATGAAGAATTTGAAAAACGCGTCACGGCAAACTTCGCTACTCGAGAGAGAAGAAAGATTTAACGTAAAGAAACGGAGAGAGACAGCTATTGATTAACACAAACCAAGGATTATAAGCGTAAAGAGGATGGCCTATTATTGACAAGCGCTGATAACATTGTGACGTCACTGGAACATTGTGACGTCACTGGAATTTAGGAAGTGAGCAAGAATTCATATTCCCTTCGAGAATACTCATATTATAATGAACGTCTATGATGCTCTTCTATACCAGCAACCTGTATGGGCGGGTATTATAAAACTACTTTGAGAGTTAACTTAAAGGTAACTTCTGGAATTACATGTAATTCAAAAAGTTAAGTTTGAGTTTACTCTCAAAGTAGTTTTATAATACCCGCCCTAAGGGTGAAACTTCTTAGGCGGCGTTCTGATATTTGGACGAAAATGAAGAATTTGAAAAACGCGTCACGGGCAAACTTCGCTACTCGAGAGAGAAGAAAGATTTAACGTAAAGAAACGGAGAGAGACAGCTATTGATTAACACAAACCAAGGATTATAAGCGTAAAGAGGATTGCCTATTATTGACAAGCGCCGATAACATTGTGACGTCACTACAGTGGCTAAATAAACCTTTACATACAGTGGCGACAATAGAGGTTTCGCCGCCATCTTGTTCCCAACCTCTTGTTACTTTTAAATATTAATATATAGGATTTAAGTGGACATCTATCATAAAAAATTGAAATCGACGTATTTGATCACCATTATTAGGTCCATCAAATACGTTGTTCTCCATGATTTATGATGAATATTCACCTAAATCCCATATATTCATATTTAAAAGTAACAAGGGGTTGGGAACAAGATGGCGGTGTTTTCAATATAAATATATGGGATTCTAGAGCCAATCAAAAATGAGACAGCAATAGGGTACTTGCATGGAAAATTAAATTGATTATTGTTTACTGCAAACTGTAGGAAATCGAAAAAAAATAGTTACTTTTTTTTAATTTCACCCAAATATGATTATTCCGGAAGTTATACAAATATTAAGTTTTTTATATATAGATATACTGAGCATGTGCGACGTCACAACTCACAACGTATTATACCTAAGTTATGACGTCGGAAGGACATTTCAAAGCGTTGTATCTCCGTCAATTTTTGACTAACAAAAAAAAGAAAAAACACGTGTTGACTTATTTTTCATGGACTATCAAAATCAGCAATAAAAAAGTTTAATGCAAGGGGCCTATTGTCGCCACTGTGGGTTATAGAGTCACTGTAGACGTCACTACAGATGTGCGCCCCCTTTCGTTATATAGGGTCTTAAAAAAAAACAATCAAAGATTGCTATATAGTTGCTTAATTTGAATATAAAACTACAGGAAGGAGCGTTTTCTATTTGTCACTACAGACAACGCAGGGACGGAAACGGCCATTTTGAGCCTCCAAGTTTGGACTCATCATTTGTTTTGGTGGTTCGCTGTGTCCTCATTCAAGTGGATGTTTAATGGATTTTAGCGGTTTTAAGTGATAATAAGTATTGGAATTAGTGAGAAAAGAGTGAGTCATAATATTTACAATCATATTTAAATAAATATACGCCACTGCCAAACCGGAAATACTAGTCGGCCATATGCAACCTCCACATATTTTGGTCGCGCAGATTCGAAGTTATGCTCCTTCCTGTAGTTTTATATTCAAAGTATGGTTGTTAAACGTACGTCGCATTATTCTTTCTTTATTGGTCAGGATTTTTTACATGACATTTTGACATTAAAGTTCATTGACAAAATTAAACAAAAATATTGCTAAGGCATACGTTTAAAAAACCATAGCAATCTTTTGTGTGTGCGTGTGTGTGTTTTTTTGAAGACCCGTATTACTACTATTCATTGTGTTTTGTGAGTATTTCCGTCATTTATACATTACATATTTGTGTCCTGTGCTTTTTAAAAATTAGTTAAATAAACTGCTCGCCAAAAAAAACGGGACAAGCAATTTTTAGCACCAAATTCAATTTCTAATAACTTTTTTATTTTATTTTTGTTTTTAATGCGGTTTGTGGTATTCGATAGTCCATGTTGTAGACCACGTGGGACAAGAATATTTTTTTCGAAGAAATGCATTTTTGAAGTTATACAGGGTGAATAATAAATTGATGCAAAAATACAAAAAGTATGGATTTCTGCCATATTGACAATTTTTTTTTTTTCGGATTTCTGTATACGCCTTTAGTAAGTTGATATCAATATCTCCAGACGTTTTTGCCAGTTTTTTGATAAGTGCCCTTTGGCAGCAGATACAATATTAAACAACAAAGTTGACAAAATCTTGTGAGCACAATATTTATAGGGCTGTATCTTGAAAACGGTCGTATTGATTTCGAACATCTTTGCAGATTTTGAAAGCTCATTTTTTTAGAGGTGCCACGACTCGCTTGCTTTTTTTGCAGATGGCCCTGTTTACATTATACAGGGGTCGAGGAAAAAATACACCTCAAATTAGGCAAATTATGATAATTGTTCTTTCAACTCTATAGAAATTGATCTGTATGCCTTTTGTTTTCTTTAAAAATTGGTTAGGTGATACTCTGGGCCAA